TCTGTAGTTCGCCCACACGCACCAGGCTTTCCCGCCAGCCCCTGAAGGCCACGTGTACACCAACCTGCAGACTCGTCAGCTCCTTCAACCTATGTTCGTCTTCCCCACAGCGAGGCTTCATCTTCTGAAGCTAACCAGACCTTGTACCAGGCATCTTCTGAGAGAACTTTGAAGGCGCGCGGCAAGTACTCCGGCTTGATCCCAACAACCTTAAGTTCCACAGCTCTCAAGTTTCTTAAGTTAACCTCCAACAGAACTCCACCCAACACTCTTAACAATTTTACTTAGTATTTGATCATTCCAAAGGTTGAAAGGAAGACCGAGAAGTTTGATCAAGAAGCTGCCGACTCTAGATTCAACTTCGTTGCAAGCTAGAGCCCAGTTCTGGACCTGAATCAAACTTCCCTCTACAAGGAATGTACTGAAATTCAGTTTCTTATCGCCAGTATCTAATAAAGCTTTCTTTTCAGCAAAAGGCAACAACACTACATCTTCATCTAAGCCCAACCTCTCTACAACTACTTCTAAAACCTTTGCCCAATCTTCTATCACCCTATCTGCCACTAGGACCATCCTCTTCTCCCAGCTCCCACTCCCTTCTTCCAAAGCCATTCATCAGAGGACAGTCGAGCTAGACACCAAAACTTCAGGGTAATGCTTAAAGTAGGGCACCTAATTACAAAGGACAAAAGGATTACAACCCTTCAAGCCAGGGACTTCTTCCACTCTCCCTTCGACCTCCAGAAGAAAAGCCTGAAGATTAAAAGCGAAGGAAGCCCACCCTCTCCGCTTCTGGCCTTCCAGAATACACAACACTTGCCTTTTGTTATTACAAAACAGTTCGATAACCATTATAAACCACCCGTTTCCATACCTCTTTAGCACAGTTTTGAACCTCTTACTCTCACATGCCTCCTCTGGTAGAAGAATCATCGCCCTGCTCCCTTCTCTGATTTTCAAGTGAACCTTCCCCTTTGTCCTTCCCTGCTCGAACAGGAAAGATTTGGCTTCAATGATCAACTCCAGTCTCCATTTCCCCACCAGCTTGAACTTCCTCTCCTCTCCCATGGTTTCCCAAGCAAGGAAAAAAAAATCTCAAGATTTTTCTACTGAATTTAGAACTTTGACCAAAGATAGTAATACACCAGAAGATTTGATAAAACACTCAAGATCAAAGTTATCCCCCCCCCAACGATAAATATTTCCCTTTCCACCCAGCCAATCTCTGATCAATTCTATTTAAATTTGGCTACCAAGTAGAATGCACAAATGCTTTTACCCCAATTGGTAGCCCCAAATAAGTAAATGGAAATTCTCCTACAAGACAACCCATTGCTAGAACAATTTTCTTATTATGATAATATGATTGAGAGATATCTCCAACCTTGACCATAACAGATAACACTCTTATTCAGATTAATTTTCTGCCCTGTCAACGCCTCAAAGCATTTGAGAATTGCCTCAATTTCAAAATATTTAATAGTATTTGTATGAGACATGTTTGCAAATCCTTTTTTTCTTTTGGGGCTTACCAAGTTTGACTCTTAGACATGCATTAGATCTGGATTCCCATGTCCAAGTCCATGCAACACTGATTAGACAAATTCACATGCAACGGATCATGTAGCTCTGTGTGTAAGTACATGTAGATTAGCATTGCAAAGATTGTGATCAAGATCATGAATCATGAATACACGGAGAGTTAGTCTTGCAATGAGAGCTGCAATGACACAAAAAGAACCACCAAAACATCTATGATGAGCATTGTACTAGTTGATGAACTCGGCAATTAAACACGACCGCAGACCTTTGGGATGACTGAGAATTACTCAAATATGACAAACCCGATCCCACAAACCTGCAATGCCCTATGTGCATCATTAACAACCATTTGAAGCCTCGACAAATGGATAGGCGGCAACGACTTGCCTCATCATAGCCAACCATGTCACCCAAACACATCACTATCCTAAGAACCCTATTCCTAACACGTGACCGCGGGCAAGCTTGAAAAGGGCCATAGGCAAGATGTACCACATGAGAATCTTAAGGGAAAAGGGAATCCTTATCCTAGAAAATCCTCATTGAACACGTAGCGAAACCCCAGTAAAGCTTACCCGTTAAATACCAAAGAATCGTGATCCACCTTCCTAACGAGAAAAGTCCTTATTTGTACGCTTCTCGTTATAGCTTTAGTAGCCTCTCTATAAAAGGGGGAGAATCATGATCCACCTTCCCCCGGTCATCCTCTGCCTTTTCAAGGAGACCATCCCCTGTTGCCTTACCACCCTGCCTACATAGTGTTTTAAACACAAGGCACAAAGAAAAAAACGCATGGAATGTGAGGTGCATGCCTTCTAGAAGCAATGTGCAAAACTGCAAAAAAATGGTAAAAATTTAAAAAAAAAAAGAAAAATATTAAAAACAATATTAATTAAAATATAAACTTAAGTTTTAAAATAAATGTTTTAAAAAACCTATTATCTCAAATTAAACATAACATGTAAAACATTTAAAATGAAAAGTTAAAAATAAAGATCAAGCATAACATATTAAACATATTCAAGCATGTAAACTCATAATCTCTTTATTTTTTTCCTAATTTCATTACTCCAAGTAGCTAATGTCATGTTAACCAGTGTTTTAAAAGCGCAAGGTGAGGCGTGCGCCTTTTTAAGAAAGGTGCAAAAGTACCAAAAAAAGCTAAAAAAGATCAGAAAATTCAAAAAAAAAGCCAAAAAAAATTTAAAAATGCAAAAAATATTAAACATAATGTTGATAAAAAATATAAACTTAAATTTTAAAATAAATGTTTTAAAAAATCTATTATCTAAAATTAAAATACATAAACGTAACATGTAAAACGTATTCAAATGAAAATTTAAAAATAAAAGCAAACATATAAAGCATTTTGAAGCATGTAAAACCCACAATCTCTTTTTTTTCCTTAATTTGCTTCAAGTAGCTAATGTGATGTAAAACATATTGCATTCTTGATTCTATGAGTCGCCTTTGTACCACGCCCCTCGAGGTAAGCCCCAACAAGTCTATGTTAGGGTCTGAAATTCTTATTTCTTGCATAAAAAAATAATGATTGTATAACTTTTATTACCTTTTAAGAAGGTATTTTATTGCAATGAATGAATGAACAACATTAGCAAATAGGGGGTTCTCGGAGCTTCGGTGCCTGGGGGCGGAGCCCCTGGCCCAGTCGTTAGACTCCAAAAAAAAAAAGCAAAAAGCACAAAATTTTAAAAAGGCACATGCCTGGGCTGAGGCGCAAGGTGCATCAGGCGCACGCCTAGGCACACCAAGTGTGCGCCTAGGACCTGGGCGAGGCGCATACCCCAAAATGTGCCTCGCCTATGCACCTAGGCGTGCCTTTTAAATCACTAACGTTAACTACGAGCCATCTTTGTACCAAGCCCCTCGAGGCAAGCCCAAACAAGTGCATATTAGGGTCTAAAATTCTTAATCCCTATAAAAAAAATTTTATAAGTGTCTGTTAAAAAACTCTTTTATTAGGATGAACGAATGAACAACATTAGCAAATATGGGGTTTTTAGAGCTTTGGTAACCTCGAGGGACTTGGTCAAGGGTCCAAGGATAGAGCCCCCAACCTAGCTGCTAAGCATAAAAAAAAACAAAAAAAACACATATTTTCAAAAGGTGCATGCCTGGACTGAAGAGCAAGGTTCTTTTGATCAGCATGGATCATGTAGCATTTCAATACTTTCAAGTTTCAATTAAGACATCCATGGAAAAAAATAAAATAAAAGTGCCCCTTACCTACAAACAATGGCATTTTCTGCTGATCCACCTTGTATTAGTCCAGCCACTAATAATCTCTCCACCTGTGAGCAATTTATCTTAATACCTCAGGTTTAACCAAAACGTATGCTTAAAAGGACAGATACAAAACACAAATACGGGAAATTACTTTAGATGTTTGAGTTGGACCTAGATTTAGTGTAAGTTAATAAAACGAATGAAACTAAAACCAGAATTATATGGTGTATTTTTTGTTTCTTATTTATTTGCATGCAACTTCAATTCAGTTTAATTTTATTTTGCTTGTGATAGTGCGTGTTTTGTATAAATTAAGGAGCTGTTTGAAAGAGAAGATTTCATGAAACTAACAAGAATCATAGATTTCAGTTCAATTTATGTACCTTCCTTTTAAGTTACATTTTTGAGTTTTGTCCCCAAACTTATTAGGGGCAGAACAGCCATTAACTTGACCATTAGAAGCATATAAATATCAGTACACTGGTGAGAGTTCGATTAATCTATCACCACTTATTCCTATCATATTTTCTCTACTCTCCATTCTTTCTACATTTTGCACACAGCAACCAACTATCATTATAATTATTATTATTATCTGTGATACGTGTGATGCTCCTGAAAATAGATTTATTAGTATACTTGAAAGAAATGAAGTAAAAGAAAAAAATATAGCATAGAAAAGAAAAATATTGTAGCCTACTCTCCTTAACATTTATACTTGAGAAAAAAAATGCCAATTGCAATTATACCTCCCAATAACATAATAAGCGAATTATTAAAATACCTTTTCTAACTAAGATTCTACCTTACCATATAAGTTGGACACTTGTTGGCAACTTGGCATGACACCCATGTCAAGGCATGTCAGAGACATGATTGAACACGTTGAGTTATCTACCTTTATTCACAATTTAATTACAATCATCCACATTTGTTATATTCTTAAATTTGGTAAAATCACAGAGTGCATAAGCACATGTTTATGCACACTTGCATACATGATACATGTAAGCATATGCATAGAATAGTTCTTTCCATGTTTCTTGAGTTCAAGGCTTGTTATGTCTGATATTCCATGTTTACGTGGCATGACCTTGTGGGTGTTGCCACAACACAAACCACAGGTTTTTTTTTTGAGAAATGTAAAGCATATTTTCATTCAAACCACAGATTATTATCATTTTCTACCATTATCTAAGTATTAGAACAAGATCAAAAATGTGTGTGAGAATAAATAAAAAGCTCTAAGTTCATAAGTTGTGATATTCTACATAAAAAGCATAAAAGTTAGCAGAGAAGCATCACTCTGCCATAAGTTTTGGCATAAACCGTGATGAATCAAAAATATTGGGATGTCTTACAGTTAGAGTATTAAATATAATCTAACAATAACATCAGACTGATTGTAAAGTTAGAAATCAACCTCTTCATAAATGCAAAAGGTTCTTGAAGAAGCTATTTGCTCTGCATAGAAAGATTTGTCCATGGAAGCCAAAGACAACCACTGAGAACTGATAACAGGTACCTGCAAAAAACGAAACTACCAGGTATTATTTTCTGTGGCAAATAGTAGTTGGTCAAAAACAAAATGTTAACCCACATGCACAACTCAATTAGCATAATAGCTGTAGAAACAATTACCTAATATATGTACACAATTCATGGCAAAAATCTGATTTTATTTATTTATTTTTGGGAATAAAGAATTACATTACCAGCTGGATACCTTCACAACAAGATTACTGCAATAAAAATATGTTTCTTTAGCCTTTCAATGCAAATGGATGGAAAATTTTCAGGATGAAATATTTAGCTATGTTTTTGCCCCTTCTACAATGAAGGCTATGCTTTTCTTGCCATTTATATACAAACAAATTAGAAGAGGTGGAATACAACCATTGCAGTTACTGACAATAGCAGGAATATTTTCAGTGTTACTTTAGCTTTATACTTTATAGTATGAGAAATCTTATTGAGAACATCTGCATTAAACTTGCAAAAGAGAGCTAAAGATAAGTAGTGCACAAAGTACGTCAGCAAAGAGAGTGAGCGAGATAACCTTAATTGTTATGAAATAAATACAACCACTGCAATTACCGACACAGCACCAGAGAGATACAAAAACAAACCTAATCCATGAGATGACTCCAATTTCCCTGAAACCATCAGAATAAATTCTTTGGAAGGAGAGGTAAGATACAATCTTCTCTAGCAAAGAGTAAACCTATGAAGCATTAATAAAGCTTATCTTGGTTAAGGTGGAGTATAGGATTTTGGAAAGAGAGTTCAAAGTCTTCACCAATCACTACAGATGACATCATGAGAGGTACGCATTATGCGAATAGCGAATCTTCTTTGTTGACAGGACTGAAGAAATATTTCTTGATGTTTTGGTATATTGATTTATGGTGTAGTTAGGGTTTAAGAGAGAAGGTGAAGGAAAAAGAGAAGATGGAATCATGGGTTTTGGTTTATCTCTTTCTGACCACCCACTCACTTATTTTATTAGATCAAGTATGGAGTAAAAGACACTTCTACCCCTGAAATATAGGCAAATGACAGAATTTATTGAGATGTACATGTAATACCCATTCTGCCCTTACAAATATCTCAACACTCTCAACACCAACCCTCATGTTGGGGCAAAGATATATATCATGCACAACTTGTTAATAATCTCACATAGGCAAACCATAACAACTCCTTTAGTAAGAACATATGCAATCTTTAATTGAGTAATGATGTAGGGAGTACAGATCTGTCCAGTAAGAAGCTTCTCTTGAATAAAATGTCAATCGACTCCAATGTGCTTGGTACATTCATGCCGTATTAGGTCATGAGCTATATTAATGGTTGCCCTATTATAACAGTGCAAGCTCACAGGATAATCAGTAGGAAAGCCCATCTCTACAAGAAGTGTCTTAAGCCATAAGCTTTAACAGACCCCATGTGCTATAGATTTAAATTCAACCTCTGCACTAGATCTTTTTTCTTTTTTGGTAAATGATTGATAATTTATTCATGATAACCAGAATGAAATTACAATACAGCCTGCCCAAAGGAGAGGCACCTCTGCACTAGATCTTGCCACCGCAGAATGCTTCTTATTACACCATGTGACCAAATTACCACTTGCAAATGAACAACAGATTGAAGTAGACCTTCTATCTAATAATTATTGATCCAACCCAATCAGCATTAGGTGTGCAGTTCAATACAAAGATGCTCATGGTTAACAAACAAAATACCTCTCTCAGGTGAAGATTTTAGGTACATCAAAATCTTGTGAAAAGCTTCTAGATGAGTGGTCCTAGGGTTATGCATATACCGGCTAACCATATCGCATGGGCAATATCAAATCTAACAAGATATAAAAAAACCAGCTTCCCTACTAATCTTTAATAGAAGAAAATTTCATGGATATCCCTCGCATCAGACTCAGCTTCCTGATAAATTAGGTAGCATTGGCAAGTCCTTTTAGGAAGACCTTCCAACAGTTAAGATGGCCTAAAGACATACTGAGCTTTTTGGGTCTTGTCTTTAAAGATCAAGACCGTTTGGCAAGTATCCCAGTCTATCATGGTCTATCGGGTAGTTAAACAAAAGATTTTAGGCATGGAAAGACGGGAAGCTTCATTTGAAGCTTTCTGATTTTTGGCTGTTTCAGGTTTCCACGAACTTTATGGGACACTGGTCTTTTCGGCTTCCTGTCTTTCATTACTAAACGGAAAAAGACCATTTTTGGGTCTAACGGTCTTTGAAAAGCCCAAAAGATCTTCCAAAATGACTTTCCAAACAGGCCCTTAATCTATGGACCTAAACTGCCCCCTCAAGTTTGATCAAGAGTGTTAAATAAATAATGGGTACATATATGGTTAAAAAGTTCCATTCCTCTCATTCCATAACATAACATAAGACAGCAGATGCCTATTCCAAAGAGATGACCACAAAACAGAACTTGTGCTAAATGAATATTATCAAACAACAGATATAATATTCATTAGGTAAGTTTTCCATCTACGCATTATTCTGCTATCTATTTTTACATGTAATCATCTGCTCAGAGCAACCAAACAAGTTCCCCAAAGCTTAAAAGGCACCCATTGAAACTTGGTAGATAATGATTCTTAATTGTTTTATCATATTTTTCTTTTGTTTTTTTTTTCTCTTCAGAATTGATTCATTCAATATCATATAGCTGAAAGATTACAAAAATAAGCACAAATTTTCGTTTTCACCAAAAAAGGATAAAGGAAAATGGACAAGAAGATGGATGAAAAAGTAAGAATGATATTCCTTGTAACTAAAAACTTGATATAGAATAATGCCATAAAATAATACAGATACAAAAAGAATCAATTCCAAATTTAAATATTATAGATGTTGTCTAACTAGTTCATTCTGCTCATGTGGCAAAGCACTGTACCTGTGGGAAATTTATTCCATAAGTGATATAAACCTTGGGAGAAGGGAAAGCAACTAGAAATGAATCGCTTTTCGTCACATGAATTGGTTCAAGAAGATAAGGTGCCATTTTATACGTGCTGTTACCATCATGATCTTTCGCCACAGACAAACCAACTTGTTCTATTGCCTCAACCCATTTTCTTGATGATCCATCTAGTATAGGAACCTGTACATCAGTTAACCATCTTATTCTTCATATGCAAGGTTGAACCATAATTCAATTTCCTTAGTTTATGCAGTAAAGTTCCTACTGTCAGAATGAAATTTATGTTTACTTCTGTTCCCTGATTTCATTGGTATGACATAAATTAGCTAACTTCTTTTTTCCTAAGGGACTCTAGACTTTGAACAGCAACTGTTTCCCCCTATGATACCCAGATACTTGTACATGCCTAGTGTACCAATGTAGATCATCATCATCATCTAAACCTTACCCCAACTATATGGGGTCAGCTACATGAATCTTGTTTCACCATTACATTCTGTTTAGAGCCATATTATCATTAAATTATGAGCACTAGTGTACCAGTGTCAGATATGATACTTAATTGGATACAATAACAGAGATATTGCAAGGGTACTTCTAAACGTACTCTGTTGCATTGACAACTTTTTTTGCTGCAATGTTGCATTAACACATAAATATATAAAATGGTATGTTTTAATAAACTATGCTAAAAATATGAATATGTTAGAAATTTATCAAATTTGACAAGACATAAGTCTTCAGAAATGACATTTAGCTTTAAAAAGCTATAATATAAATACATGATTTAAGCATATTAAACAGGATACTCATTCCTGTATCTGTTTCCAGAATTTTAGTAAATGGAGAGTTGTATCCCTGTCCATCTTCATATCTGGGAGTGTTAGTTTTCCTTGTTTAGAATTTTCACCTCTTAAAGAAGAAGATAGAGAAGGCAAACTTATGATGTGTATGTTTGTGTGCGCGTGTGTGTGTGTGTGAGAGAGAGAGAGAGGAGAAGGCAAAAATAAATAAATAAAAGAGCAGAAGACGATAAGAATATATCAACATTCAACATATAGGATTAGTCCCATGGTTCCATCCTGCCACTAAGAAGAATGACGGAGAAAAAATGCCTTTCTCTGAGGCAGACCTTCTAGCTAAGCAAGAGGCACATAGGGATCAATTATTTTGGGCTCAATTGTAATTATGCTTTTTTTTTTTGAGGCAGCATCTCTCGCCTCTTTGTGGGAAACTTTATGCTGTACTCTTTGATAGTTCATCTTGATTAATCTTAATAAAATGCTTATTATTACTGATCAAAATAAAAGCCTTTCTAAGCAATGTGTTCTCCAATCATGCTTTTACAAAACCCTAAGGCCCTAACTGTCACAATTTTCTTTTATTTTTCTTTTGGGTGTATATATGCATGTTTTCTACTGCCACCAAACTTTAAACGATAAGTGGTGATCATATTTAATTTCAAATGCCTTTTTCACTGGCTAAAATATTGACTTGTTTGGAAAGGCCATACTTCTCAATTGGACAAGGGCATCTGTAATGAAACTTCAGATGTAGAGAGTCTTTTATCATGTGAAAGAAAATGGTGCTAGAAAATATTATTCTTTTTTTAATTTTTCAATTCCCCTTGACCAAAACCACCTATTTTTTGTTACTATAAGAAGTCAAAAAAACACTGTTCCTGTCTCCCTCTATTCTGAAAAAGTATCATATATATAAACAGATAGTACAGACATGAATATCTCACAAAGAAACTACATAAAAATTCAGACCACAGTTTAACAATGGAATACCTGTTACAGTCCACACATATAGACCTATAAACATTAGACATGGGAGTCAGTCAAGCATCATATAATTAAATCAGGTCATGTGAAATGATTGAACCAATCAAAAGCTTAAAACAAAGAAACAACTACAGAAACTGTAGAATTCCAACTTCCAAGTGAAAAAGCACAGCAGTTTTATGGGTTTGGAGAAGGTTGGTTCCAGTATATGCACTATAGTACATGGTTTAGAATTAGAGGAGAGAAAGTACTGATATGTAGACCTAATTAAGTTTATGTATGAGGGTCTTGGAAAACAAAGGGGTTCCAAATAGGTATATAGACCTAATTAAGGATATGTACAAGGGTACAACAACCAATGTTAGAACACCTTTGAAAGAGACGTTAGATTTTACAGTTACAATGGGTCTTCACCAAGGTTCAGTATTTAGCCCTTTATTTGCATTGATAATAGATGAATTGACTAGCCATATTCAAGAGGAGGTCCCATGGTGCATGTTGTTTACTGATGATATTGTTTTAATTGAAGAAACTAGTAAAGTATTAAGTGCAAAATTAAGCTTACGGACAAATGCCTTAGAAACAAGAGGTTTAAAAATAAGTAGGACTAAACTATAATATATGACATGCAAATTTAATAATAATTATAATAATAATAACAATAATAATAATAACAGGGGTAAAAATTGGGGTACACTTAGGATGGGAGACAAGAGATAACTCATAGTGACCTATGACCCTCCCCGGTATCTTGGTTCAATAATTCATAACTAGGGAAAGATTGAGGAGGATGTCATCCATAGAACAAGAGCAAGATGAGCAAAATGAAGGGGTGAATCCAAAGTTTTATGTGATAGGTGAATTATCACTTAAGTTAAACGAAAATTTCTATGAAACGGTTATAAATGTTATATGAAGCAGAGTGTTGGGCAGTCAAGAAAAAAATCCAAAAAATGAGTGTGGCAGAGATGTGCATGTTGAGATAGATAAATGGAAGAACTAGAAAGGATATGATAAAAAATTAGATCATTTGTAGGAACTTTAGAGTAGCTCTAAGAAGTGATAAAATGAGAGAAAGATCATCAACAGAACCCGTAAGAAGAAGTGATTTGTTGCAAGTTGAAGGGGCTAGAAGGGATAGAAGTAGACCAAAATGCACATGGGTAAAAGAATAAGAAATGATTTTAAGTCCCAATAGAACAGAATGGTGAAACAGGATTTATGTAGCCAACCCCATATAGTTGGGATAAGGCTTGGAAGATGAAAGTACTGATATAGCTAATCACACTTAATTGCTTCACATCTAAACTGTGGAAAAAGCAATTAAACGGCATCAATTTGGAGGGAGAGTCACAGACAATTATTGGTTGGAAGAAGGCAGGTGCATATAGCCCATTGTCCTTTCAGTATTGCATCATAGAGGTTATAGTTCCGGAATGCAGGATGGATATCTAGTTTAGATGGATCACATAACCATCCAGCCCCCAACGGATGTTCTTGCTAAAGAAGGGTTTTGTAGAGTTTTTTTGCATTAAGGGCAGTCACTCCTCCGGTAGAAGAATCCTAGGTTCTCTAAAGGTTCTTGGCCCTTTCCCGAAACTGGGGCTTAGACGATTGTATAATTTCTTCATTTGCTCGCATTAAAAAATTATATTGCCATTTGCAAAAAAGATTAAAAAAACACTAACCCGGCATAAATTATTGCGTTTGTAAAACATAATTATTTTTTTACAAGCGACCTCCCAGTTAAAGATTGTTTTGGTAATGAAACGATTCAGAAACTCCACCTCATCAGCCCCGACTATCTCAATCCGGCAGTTATCAACTCCGACGGCCTCCAGAGCCGAAAGTAAATGCTCGACAGTTCGAACCCTAGTTCCTTCTCTGCACAGCGTCGTACAGAGTGTCGTTTCTGTCACAAAATCTATGGACGCCGGAATTCTCGTCCGCTCACGAACAAAGAATCTTCCTTCCCCTGCCTTAGCCGGAAACAACTTCACCGTCGACAATGCCCCCGAATGGAGTGCCGTCCCCGAGATTTCGAACGTAGATGCAAGGGTTTTCTGAAGACTACCTGTCTGTAATCGAAGTCATTCAAATTCTAGAAATGACAGAAACGGAGGGGGAGAGAGAGAGAGAGATTACTTGTTTCCATGAAATTGATTTAGAAGCTCGGAGTCCGGTAAAAAGGCGCCTGCAAGTCATCTCGTATTGGAAGACGAGTGAACTGTTAACAGAACCCGACCATCGCCGAAGGAGCGCTCTGCCGCTCTGTACTCAGTGCTCTGTATGATGAAGTAATGAACAGTAGATGATGTATGTATGTACATTCTCGCATAGTCGCATGGTAAAGGCTGCAAACGAATCCGGCTTTAGTCCGATCCATTTAGGTCGGATTTGTACATCCGTTTGTCATAACCCGAATCCAGATCTTCCTTGATCCAATCCGATATGATTATTTAATAATTAATATTTATATGCTTATATAATATGATATTTACTTTTGGGTAAAATACAAAAACCTCTCGTGGAGTTTCTGACAATCATAAAAACCTTCCATGTAGTTTAATTATAATAAATACCACCCTGAACTTTTGAAAAAATCAATAGAAACCTCCCTTCTGTCACTAATCCAACGAAAAACGTTAGACCAATACATCAGTTTTTTTTAAATACCCATTCTACCCTCTTGTCGATCTATTTTTCTTATATTCTTGAACTCCATCGACCCAAGAATAGAGGAACCTTGAAGAATATTTATCATTTTCTCCTCTTTCAATCTCTCGTTCTTAAAACTCCATCAACTCAACAAAAGGTAGCAATCACCGTTGACTCTTTCAGCCCTGAAACTTACTCCAATCAAGGGAAACAACATTTTACCACCGAAGATTGTCTGGTGAAGAAGTGAGACAATGTCTATGGTTTATGCACAGGAAAACACAGATAAAATTTGAACTTTAGCTATAGACTAGAAAGTGAACTGTTGCAAGTGATTGTTCTTCACCGAAAGGTTGGTAGAGAAGTGTGTTAATCAACTTAAAGGCCGCCTAATCTTTTAATCACATCTTGGATTTACGATACTAGTTTTATAGCAGAAATGCCAAATGATGAATTCTTGGGTTTGATTGCATATCAAAAATAAAAATAATTGTTACACTGTTCAACTTTTCCCCTTGTTTTTCTTTTGGGTTTTATGTATTTATGGACACTTCTGAATGCATCTTTTTTTCTCATTTCAGTTCATACGAAATGTCATTTAATCTCTGATTTGGTTTTTGTGGGCTTCAATGAATTTGTGCTTTATTATTTCTGATTTTTTGGATTTGATGAAGCATAACTTTGTTTGGTCCCCAATTTCTTATCGATTGGCTACTGATTACTCAACTTACAAGCCAACAATGGTGTTAGTAATACCTTCAAAAGAAAACGTTAACAAATTACAACACATAAGAGGAATTGATTTCTTGTCCTTGAGAGCCTTGGTTATTTTTCCATGCAGTATTGGTGAAAAGCCAGAGACTCTGCTTTCCAAAAATGCCGAAGACTCTGGGTAACAGGGTCTCCGTTTTCTATTAGTGAAATGCAATCCTCATAGCAAGAGAAACGAGAAAAAAAAAAGCTCTAGTGAGAAATTGCTTGAGGGGGGAACTAGATATTGCAGACAAGGAAGAATAGTTGCCGGTAAAGAACAGTGGCCGGTGAAAAGCGGTTTCCAGAAAATGGGAAATACTCTTAGGTGAATGGAATATTTTGAATGATGATGCCATGCAAGTGTTTAGTGTTGCTAGGGTTTAAACTCTATTGTTTTGCTCTGAGAAAAGGCTAATAAAATCGCAAGAGTGATGTTAATTGACTGAGAGCAGTTTTAGAATTTTAATATATTTTCAATGATGTCCCAACAATTAACCAGGGGTAATTTTGTAACTTTATATGTTTTTTGTCTGGACTAGTGACGAAATGGAGGTTTTCTGATGATTTTTTCAAAAGTTCAGGGGAAGTATTTGTTAAAGTTAAACTATAAGGGAGGTTTTTATGATTGTCAAAAACTTCAGGGGAGGTTTTTGTATTTTACCCATTACTTTTTAGTATTAAAATTTTGGATTTATTATTAAACAATTTCTTAAAATATCCTTAAAAGTTCAAACCCTACTAAAAGTACCCTTGAAGAAGTTTTAAGAATGCATTTTTTTCGATTAGACAAAAAGACTCTTTTACCCTTAATTGTTTCAATTAAGGGTAAAAGAAACCAACTTGACCAGATTAAAAATGTCATTAAAAGTATTGTTATTGATTATTTAATAAAATATTATAATTATTGGTATTATTGATAAATATTGTTAATTTAATTTAATTTTGGTAATTATTAATTTAATAAATATTGTTAATAAATCATATTCATAAATTTAATAATTGTTGTTATATTAAAAATAACTAAATAATATTATTAAAACTATCATTAATGATTATTTAATAAAGGATTATAATTATTTATTATTATTAATAAATGTTGTTAATAACAATCTGACAACCAACGGTTTGACCATTCGGTTCGAACGAATGGCCCGTTATGACAACAAAAATTACAAGCAAAAAAAATTATGGAACCGTTCTGGCCATCGGTTTTTGAGTCGACGGTTCGATCATCCGATTCGAACGGACAGTCCATTCTGACAACAAAAATTATAGGCAAAAAATTGAGTGTGTGAGATCCATTAAGTAGTATCATACGTGTTATTGCATTAGAGCGTATGACTCATACGACCAAAAAAACAGAACCATTATGGCCACCGGTTTTTGGGTCAACGGTTTGATCGTTCGGTTCAAACGGGATGGCCTATTCTGATAACAAAAAATTATGGAACCGTTATAGCAACCGGTTTTTGAGTCGACGGTTCGACTGAGTGTGTGAGGTCCATTAAGCAGTATCATACGTGTTATGTCATTCGAGCTAGACCTGTTCATGGGCTGGTCTCGGGCTTGGCTTTTGTCAAAATTCTAATGGTTTCAGCCCGAAGCCTGAATCCGAGATAGTGTAAAGTTAGGCTCGAAGCCCGGGCCGTGAACAGGTCTAATTCGAGCGTGTGACATATAACCCAAAAATGGAATTGTTCTGGCCATTGGTTTTTAGGTCCGATTCGAACAGATGGCCCGTTTTGACAACAAAAATTATAAAAAAATGGCCAAAAAACATTGAATGGGTCAACGAGTTGACGGTTCGACCACTCAGGTCAATGGGTCGTTGACCGATTCAACGGTTTTTGGCCAGGGACCAGGATTGGGGTAAAACGGAACCGGTTTCTTGGACAGTACTCGGGTCGAAATGTCTATCCGTCTAAGTCAACAACGGTTTGAAAACCATAGTTTTTATGCTTTTGGATTTTCACTATTCAAAGGTTTCTTCTACTGTAGGATTTATTTGAGCGTGTGTGGTATATTCTTTTTTTTTTCATTTTCTGTTTTTGTTTTTGTTTTTTTGTTTGTATTTGGTCTTCTTCTTTAAGATCCTCCAAAACGGCCTAGGGTTTACCACCATTTTATTTCTTCGCTTTTGTTTTTTCTTTGGGTTTTCTTATGCAATTTTTTTTTTTATTTCTTACAAGACGATCTGCTTTGTCTCTTTCTTTAATTGCATGTATGTTTCGCTCCACCTCAAAGTGGAACTTTGGGCTCGATTTTCTGGTTTTTTTCCTTGGTTTTTCCAATTTGGTGGATTTACCGCCAATTTTTTATGTCTTTAAGGTCACTTTGGATTTATTTTTCAAGGTTTTGGAATCCCTTGTGATGTCCACCCTTCCCATGACTACAACTACAAATTTATTTCATCTAATTATTAACACCTAGGAAAAATGACTCGAAAATAGAACCGTTATGGCCACTGGTTTCCAGTTTGATGGTTTGACCGTCCAATTCGAACTGATGGCCCGTTCTGACAACAAAAAATAAAAAATGGCCAAAAGTCGTTGAATGGGTCGACGGTTAAACTGCCCGGATCAGTGGGCCGTTGATTGATTCAACGTTTTTTGGCCAGGGACCAGGTTTGGGGTAAAACGGAATTGGTTGCCTGGACGGTTCCCAAGCTGAACGGTCCTACTATCCGAGTCAAGTAGGAGTTCTTGGTGTGAAACAAAGGACAACTATGAAGTAGAACTCAAAACTATCACTGTATGATTGTATTCATTTATATGAGATGCTTTGCTGAAGCAATATTTAAAAAACAAACACATGATGATCTCTTTTTAGTCTTTATATGAGTTTCAAGATTTGAGTACTTATAATTGCAAAATTCTTATTGAGAAGCAATTGTCTTTTTTAATGCAGCAAATAGCAATGTTAAAATTCCATTCCAGTCCCTACGAAACAGGGCCCCTCCGCTAGTATATATCTATTAAAGGGATAGGGGTGGTCTCCCCTTTTGCCAAATGTCAACCCTTTAATATATATATATATATATATATTCTTCATTGAAAATTCTTAATGAACAATTTAATATATATGCAATCGGTTTTGGGTTGACGACTCAATCATCCAATTTGAATGAATGGCCCATTTTGACAACAAAAATTATGGAATCATTTTGACCATCGGTTTTAGGTCAACGGTTCGACCATCCAGTTCGAAAGGATGACCCATTAAGCAATATCATACGTGTGTGAGGTCCATTAAATAGTATCATATGTGTTATGTCATTTGAGTGTGTGACTCATACGACCCGAGAACGGAATTGTTCTGACCACCGATTTTTGGGTTGATGGTTTGACCGTTTGGTTTGAAAAGACAGCCCATGCAATGTCCACCAAATTTTTTTATGTGTTTAAGGTCACTTTGGATTTATCTTTCAAGGTTTTGGAATCTCATGCAATGTCGTCCACCCTTCCCATAACTATGACTATAAAGTTATTTTGTCTAATTATTGACATCTAGAAAAAACGTCCCGAAAACGGAACCATTCTGGCCACTGGTTTCCAAGTTGATGGTTCGACCATCTGCTTTGAACGGATGGCCCGTTCTAACAACAAAAATTAAAAATGGCCAAAAACCATTGAACGGGTTGACCACCCGAGTCAACGGGTCGTTGACTGATTCAACGATTTTGACCAGGGACCGGTTTTGGGGTAAAACGGAACTGATTGCCTATACGGTTCTCGGGCCAAACGGTCCTACTGTCCGGGTCAACTAAGAGTTCTCAATGTAAAACAAATGACAGCTATGAACTAGAACTTAGAACCATCACTATATGATTATATTCTTTTATATGAGATGCTTTGCTAAAGCAATATTTAAAAAACGAGCAG